GGGTACAAAATTGGAATCAGACGAGATTTATTAATTATATTACTTCCTATTCAGTATACGTGAGTATTACATTTAGAAGGAGTATTTCATATCGTTCTCTGTTCCAGACTTAGTTGCAGGTCCGTCATCAAAACTATACAGGGCTTTTCACGATAAGCATTGATTAGATGTTTCTGGCAAACCAGGCAACGGATAAATCCAAAAATCCGAAGGTATGTATATGAATTAACATGGTCTACACGTCTGAAATATTTGTAAAGTAGCAGTAACTTTGATTTTTCAAATGGGACACCCTGGATGCTTCCTGAAGAGCTGATTTAATCGATTCACAAAGTTCGGGGTCTAGTGGGACTAATAACTGAGATATTTAGAGTGAGAAAAATCGAGATGTTTCAACTTTGGAGTTATTTTGCGAAAATATTTATTATTGATCAAAACGGCTTTTATGTCCCTATCTTAACTTTGTATCTATAGACATTTAATCGAAACAAATACAGGATGGTTCATAATTCAGTTTCCTGCACCACCCTGTATCTGTTTCAATTGAATATCGAATGGAAAATTGAGATAGGGACATTGAAGCCGTTTTGACCATGCAATATTGAATAGTTTCAACACGAAACATTTCTAAAGTTGAAACATCTCGATTTTCCACATCCTATATCTCAGTTATCAGTCCCGCTAGACCTTGAATGTTTTGAATCGATGAATTCTGCTGTTCAGCAAGAATCCAAGAATGTAATGAAATACAGGGTGTCCCATTTGAAAAATCGAAGTTGCTGCTACTTTCTAGTAGAAGCAGCAAGGCCGGATCGTTTCAAATATCTCAGTAGTGTAGTTTATGTTAATTTATACAGACCATCGAAATTTCAGATTTATCCGTTGCCTGGTTTGCCGAAAACGTCAAATTAACGCTCATCGTGAAAAGCCCTGTATAGTTTTGATGACGGACCTGCAACTGAGTCTGGAACAAAGAACGATATGAAATACTCCTTCTAAATGTAATACTCACGTATACTGAATAGGAAGTAATGAACTTCCGCAATCGGTAAATCATCCAGAGCTTCCTCAAGATGATACTCAAGCGAATTTCTATAACGTTCGGAAGTCTGTGTTTCATGGTAAATAGAAGGAACAATAATTCGTTTACCAAATATTGCAACCCACATATTAAAGCCGAAACGGTGTTGGTGTCTCGCTGTAATGTATAAATGTTCATTTTCTCGTGAACAATAATGTGTATTTTTTCTATCGAAGCTAAAATGATTAGTGACCATGCTTTCATCAGTCCAGATGATTGTTCGAAAGAAATCTCCAAAATTTTAACATTTCCTGGTATACCACTCACAGGATGTCTTGCGCTTTTCGTCATCTCCTGGTTTTAGCGCTTGACATATTCTGAATTTGTATGGATGGAATTTTTGTTTCCGCAAAATGAAATGGGTTGTTGATTGAAACCAGTTGATGAGGTATTAGTGTGTTGACTAATTTTCCTTCAAAATAAGTGGAACTGATGGCATTTTTCCTTTGGAGTTTCGAAAAAACATTGATGATGGATGGAAATAGGTCAAAACACAAATGAACCACCTTGTATAATACATGGTTGAATTCAGAATGAAAAAACCTTTGAGAATCTGTGAAAAAATTATCAGGACCGTATTTAAAAAACAAAAGTTGATGATGGTTCCACGAATACGGAACGTCGCATGAAAAAATCGGTATCACCACGTTGACCGTCATCAGAAGTTGCTATAGAAAAGTATTCTCAGTTTTGCTGTATCTCTAATAATAACGGAGAAAAAAAATAACATAGAAATTCCAAAAATTAACTTTTTTCGATATAACTCAAAAACTAAAAATGATTTTCAAAATTTTCGAAGGCTCTTGATATGAGCCTCCGAATGCGCAACTTTTTCCCCATTTAACCGATTTCGTATCTCTCACCGTTTTCGAGATCCCCATGCTGTTCAACCTTATCTTGGACAGACTGTATAAATGTAAATTTCCCTTCAACGTTTCACCAATACTGGAAATAAATAGTGTATCAACTTTGAAGTGTGAAAATAATCAATATAATGTAATAATGCCCTATCAATATTATTCATCGATATTCTTGTGAAGTGCTATTCAATATGTTGCAGATATTGTTTGTAGATGTTTCTGGAAAATTCGTTTTCAAATGCTACTAGATATTTTCTGATAATATCTACATATATGTATATATATATATATTGTAAGAATATATGCCATCGATATGGTTTCTGGCATCATTTTGAATATGTGTCAATATTTGTTTTCAATGTATCCGTTACATTCAGAATCGAAGGTGTATCAACTTATAAATGAGAGATTGATCGTGATGATTCATTAATATCGTATCATCGTGAATGTTCAATATAAAATAACAATTTTTTGAAGATATATTGTGGAGATTGTTCCTGGATAACCACTCTATATCTTCATTCAATATCTGGATGATGATATTGTGTGAATATCTACCTTTGATATAATTTAGGGCAATATTTTGAATATATAGGTATATTTCACTTCGACATTTTTCGCGCATTGAAAATGAATGTTGTATCAACTTCAAAGTGTGAGAATGATCAATATGATTTATCAATATCCTGAAAAGGCGCTGTTCAATATGTTATAGATATTGTTTGTAGATATTTCTGTAGACTTCTTTCTCAATAGCTACTAGATATTATTCGCCAATATCCACATACATATATGTAATGATATTGGCCATCGATATAATTTCCGACATTATTTTAAATATGTGTCAATATTTGTAATCAATATACTACGTTCATTCATTATCTATCTCGTATCAACTTCCAGTTATGACATTATTCAATGGGATCCATCAATATCACATTATACTGATGTTCAATATGAAAGATATATGTTTTTGTAGATATATCACAATATCTATTCAACTATATTGTCTATATATAAGTTTTCGATATAGCTCTGAGCTTTATTTTTGATATTTGTCAATATTTTTTTTCAATTCACTCCCCACATTGGAATATCATTGTTCCATAAACTTTCGAATACGACATTATTCCATATATGATCATCTATCATCCCAGCATATTGATGTTGGATATAATATTTATATATTCCTTAAATATATCTTGAATATCAATTTTCAATGATCACCACATATTCTCAACCAATATCCGCATAACTATATTTTATGAATATTTTATATTGATTCTGTTCCAAGCATACTGTTCAATATGTGTATATATTTGTTTTGAATCTCCTGTTAATATTATGGATAGATATTGTATCAACGTTTGATTGATAGAAACATGAATATCATCCATCAATACCTAAGCATACCGATATTTCATACGGAATATATATTTCTTGGCGATATGTTTGAGATATTGTTAATAAATAACCCGTCCATATTCCTACCCAATGTCTGAGTCACTATATAGTATGAATATGAGATACTGATATAATTTGAAGCATTCTTTTGAATATGTGTCGATTTTTTTTTTCAATTAGTCTCAACATCAGTCATGAATGCAATAACAAGATTATTTCTCATTATTGATCTATATTTGGTGTCAATATTTATAATATATCACTACGTGGTGATGCCAAGAATATTGCTCATCTTCAACCTACTATATTGTTGGTCAATATCGATGAGCCATCAGTTACATATATAGAGATGATGAATGATTCTCAATCAACGCACTTCATTGTTTTTTTCATATCAACAAATCAATATTGTAGGATGATTATAAATCAATATTATTTCAGATATTTTGTTGAATGATTTAACAATATTTTCATGAAACATCGAATCAATATCGATCTACAATAGCATGTTGAATGTTTGGATCCAATATTGTGCCTACTTGATTTCTCGATATTGCGCCAATTTTTCATCTATATTGGTCCAATATCGGCCCAATATGAGTGTGCTACTTGGGTAGGACGTTCGAATTTGGTACCGTGGACGTCCATTGGACGTCTGTGGGACGCACAAATGTCCCACTTGAGGACCAGTTAGGGACGTCCTTGAGGGACGTCCCTGGGACAACTATCGAAGACAACCTTTCAGCAACGCTGAGGAATATCAATTGGATGTCCATAGGATGTCCCAGGGACGTACGAATTATTCTTGAATTTGAATTTTTCTGAGTCCCTCTAGGACCAGATCTTGCATCACTGATGAGGACATTCAGTTGAGTTGATGGTCCGTAGAAGGTCCCCAATAGATCCTGAAAAAGTTTCCCAAGGATGTCCAATGGACTTACGTGAAGGACATTGATGGGGAGTATTTATAGCCTGCGAGCAATCATTCGTCGGCGAGGTGTAAGTTAACGTCCTCGCAGGGACAACATATTGAAAGTACCGACTGGGACGTCCATAGGACATTATTTCTAGGACATTAGATAAGTACAGTTCATGAACCAATTGGGACATCCGAAGGATGTCCCTAAGGGACATTCCGATTTTCATACGATCCTGGAAATATTAAGGGCGTCTGTGCAGAGATATTTGAAGGAATATACTATCAGAGACATTTCATGGTTGTCTAGAAGGTGCATTATATAAGATATGAAGTCAAGCCAGAATATGTACTACTCGGGACATCCGATGGATGTCCCTAAAGGAACGTTTGAAATCATATCTCGTCAGGAACATACCAAGGACGTCCTTGCATGGACATTCTATAATATGTACCACGTGGGACGTCTAAGGGATGCTATTTCTAGGACATTTGAAATGATGTACCAGCTGGGATATTCCGTGAACGTCCATACTCGGACATACAAGGACACTTATTTTTGGTCCGGGACATTCGGACCTGAATTGTACCAAATTGGGACGTCCCTAGAGTTGTTAGAGTAGCGACTATTAAAACGCCACACGGGAAGTTGAAGAGAGCAGTATCGAAAGTGTGTCCGCTGCCGCTGCAAACCAGTGACTAAAGCTACTGCTAACGTTATTAGATGTGCCGTTGTTATTTTGAACGCTACAATCGTTCAACGCGGGGGAGTATGGACAATTGTGGGTATTCTGTATATTCTGTATATAAGAAATTTGTTTGCAACATTTTTTCTCTTGTGATAATGGATTTCGAGATATCGAAGGATTACGCACTAAATGGACACACTGTATATTCAAAACTGGTATATGGGGGTTTTCGAGGTCAAAGATTATGATTCTTTCGTCAGAATTGGTGAATTCAAGATAGCGGATCCAATATGGCAACCGATTTTTGTAATTATTATTCGAATCTTATGGAAAACTGGCAGATTCAATACGGCGGAAGAGTTTTTTTAATTATGGACCGATTCTATATTCACAATTGTTATCTGGCGGTTTTCGGGATCGGAGATTATGATTCTTTTGTCAAAATTTCAAAATACAAGATGGCGGATCCAATATGGCGGACATTTTATGTAATTATGATCTGACTCTCCTCATGATTCATTTTTGGGGGTTTTTGGGGTGAGAGATCATGATTCTTTGTCGAAATTGAAAAATTCGAGATGGCGGATTCAATATGGTGGACGAGTTTTGTAATTATATGATCCGATTCTTTTCAAAATCGGCATCTAGTGGTTTTCGGAGTCTGAGATTAGAATGTTTAGTCAAAATTGGAGAATTCAATATGGCGGATACACTATGGCAGACGGGTCTTGTAATCATGATGCGATTCTATTAAAAATCAGTATCTGGGGGTTGTCGAGATGATGAAATATTCCCTCGTCAAAATTAAGTAGGTACACAGAATATGAGAACACTAAAAGTACCTTTCTGAATTTGTTGGAAATTTTTGAAATGAATTCTACTTTGAACAATAATTTGGTCACATCCCTTAATGAACAGGTGAACTATGATTGTGTGAAATTTTTCAATTCTTTAGATTTCACCAATAACCAAATTTAGTTTTTATGTTGTTTGGCACCTGCTTTGGTCTCTTTCAATTATCATCATTCATTTACTTTCAGATTTGCTACTAACCATCTTGTTGGAATGTTCCTCCTCCCCCTCCCTTTCAAATCTTCTCATTTTCATTTCTGTTTGAGTATTTTTAACTGTACTACCTTTAGTGGAATTCACATTCTGTGTCCTATGTCACTTGTCATAATGTCATGTTATTAAGACTTTGACTTATGTCAAGTACTTGTAATTCACTCTGTGTTTCTAACCTTAGGTTGGATGTAACACGTTTTTGGCTTTTGGCCCCATCAATTCTAAATTGATTTTTGATTTTTAAGTGCGCTCTCTCAAGGGTACGGGACCCTTTTTTCCCGTAATACACCAATATGGTTATTTTGAGCACCTTGTGTGTTCGTCAAGTTTCCCTTCTGGGACTTGACTTGTGATTTTATTCATAAGTGCGCGTTCTCAGGGCACGGGGCCCTTCATTTTCAATGAAAACCCGTTCATTCCTAAACTATTTATTCTCATCAATAACATTACGATGAGAGACATCGACATCTTTGTTGAAACAAACAATGTTTCACCTCCATGTAAGTCAAAAAACATTTTTTTATAACATTTTTTATATATTTTCACATGTCTTTACTTTTAGTTATTTCTTAAATACGGCTGAAGATGGACTTTTATAAGTCCGAAACATGTCCCGTTGAATAAACACTTCATATTAAAGTTGTGGAGATGACTTTGAGCTTTCCTTCCTCCTTTAGATACGAAGTAGGTTCAATCAGGGCAAAGGTGCATAAGTTTGGAAATCCTGAATTCTCCCGAATATATTTGACAAAACGGTATATCCGCGATTTCGTCTTCATTCTTTTCTGACGTTATTTGAAGTGGAACAACAAAATAAGTTCAATTTTGTCGTTGCCACTCTTTCTGCTCTATCCAATGATATTATCAGATTTGTGATCCGACGTTTCGTCTTCGAGGAGCCATCACCAACTTGGTTTTTTTGAACGGTTTTTGATCAGACGTTTTGTCTCCTCGTAACCATCATCAAATATCACTGATGATGATTTTTATGCTCGAAACGTTGGATGATTCTGATGTGCAATATATTGTCGAATTTAAAATCGAAATTAGATTTTCTTAGGGTCAAGAAACATTTTTTCGATCATTTAAAAAAACGAAAGTGGATCATTTCCCCTCGAAGACGAATCAACGTTGGATCACAAATCTATCAATATTGTTTGGTAAAGCGAAGAAAGTGGTCATGATGATATGTAACTCATTTTTTCATACCTTATCAAATTGAGTCAAAAGAAAATAAATATTTAATCGCGAATATTCAGTTTTATTAAATATTCTCGGAAGTATTCGGAATTTAAAATTTTTTGAGGTGGCATTTTGATCAGCATCAAATTGCGCAACTGAGCTCTGATTGAACCCACTTTGTATTTGTTATGTTTACCGACACCCCAACGATACCCTTCGCATTTGCGACACCCTGTATGAGTATGTACAAGTTAAAACTTTCAAATTTGTTTTTATATTCAATAGTTTGGATTTTGTAGAAGCTGTTGTATAATATAATATAATATACGGATTTACCCTGTACAATGAATAAGCAATTCTCTTAGGAAATGATATTTGGTTAATACGTTGATATTAGCAGTGATATCTTGCCACCGGATGATGATGTATCTGTGGTTTCCAGTACAATTCCGATAATAACGACGATGTTATTCTCATTTAGTGGTGCTATATTGTGGATCTTTGGATATGTATTTCTTGAAGCTGTGAGTATTTTTTTTTTCAATTATGCATGATAGATTAACGAATAATTTTCACGTATGCAGAATAATGTTGAGAAATATAAGTGTAGCCAGATGACATAATGTCTGATAGTTCCAAATAAGGAGACATCATCAAACAAGACAATCTGAACGTTTCTGAACATTCCTTCCCATATTTCTGGGGTCGGAAATTCACTACTATTTACTATTCACTAATATTTATTGTTAAAAACTACGTTCCAAAATTGGTCTATCACAGAGCCTGATAGGAAAATAGAATCGATGGTCATTGGTCAGTGATAAATTCCTATTTGACAAAGATGAACATATATGAATATAATTGTTCCTCTAGTTTTCCTTAGTGTTGAGATTCAATGTTAATATGGGACAGTTTAGAGAAATCATCTGTTATTAATGAACGAAATTTGTCGAATCCAAAGACAGTTTTGTTGATCGAATAATATTTTTCATGGTGAGGATATAATAATATGACACTTGATTTTTTTTCAATAACTTGGAGCGCACGAAAGGGAATCTCTGTAAGGTTCGAAAAACGTCGTGCGTACCTATAGGGAGTATAGGTAGTATAGGGTGAGTTTGGAGATTATGAGTTCTCGGTAATACTTCCTTTGGCAAAGAATCCCGAAGCTTTTCCGTTCTATGGACGAACAGGTTTTGGTAAAGAGTTGTGCTGACTGGGCTTGTCGAGTACGTCTGACTGGTTTTGATTGATTTTAACCATTTTTCTTTTTCCATGATGAAATTTCAAATAAAAGTAAATGTGTAAATTTCCACCACAGCCTTGCTATTGATGAACCAACTAAAGATTTGAGGAACAAATCTACAAAATCATCAGGTGCTCGGTTCGGGGGAAGAGCTTACTTTCAAATTTGGGGCTCATTTTTAGTGGCTGACTTTTTTGCACCAATGACATTGTCATTCCGATTATTTTACTAAAATGAACATAACCAAACCAACCAAGCTAAATGCCTCTACACGAATTTCGCTATTCATGTTAGCATCTTCAGTTTCCGAAATCTTTTGGGTTTGGTGACTGTTCTCGTTTTTCTGTTGCTAATTATTACCCAATGCGCTGTTCAAAACTGTGGAAAATTACGGCTTGATTCAAACAGACCCTAGGTATATACGCTATCCCGCTATTCGATATCGATCTTGATGACGTCAGTTATTGATATTGCTACATCAACCTCATTGAAACTTGCCAAGTCGGCCATTAGTACATTTTTCACAGGTCACAAATAATTGCGGTTGAGTTATTTGAAAATTGTTGTACGCGAGTAGGTATATTAAATCATTCGAAATATATTGGTACCTAGTAAAGTAATCACTATGTTACAATTGAACGGAGTACACATTTTCATCTCATGAAAAAATGGCATGATATGTATAATTGTATATTATGAACATCCAATATGGAGGAACCTAAAACCACGTGCTATTTGATCAAACATTAGGTAAATATCCGTTAGTCACTCAAAGCGAATTCCATTCGTAAAACTGGTGGTGCACTGGTTTCGCACCAATTTCGCACCCGCACTACGTTAGTTCCCTCCAAAATATGAACTGGTGCATTCCCAATGGAATACGAAATGATATTATACAATTTTTCATCATTATTCAATGTTGATTATCAGATTGCCACTATCAATTTGACTTTCAAACTATTCATATTCAATGTTTCCGCCATTTTGAAAACTGCACTGACTTCGCACGACTAGTGCTTCGCGAGACCAAGACCAGGACCAAGAATGATCAGTCTTGGTCCTTGGTCTTTGTCTCGGAAAATAAATCTTGGTATTAGTCTTCACGTTTCAAGACCAAGACGAGACTGGCTCAGTCTTGGTCTTGGTACGAAGGCGCTGAAGGGCCACCTATACTTTTTCTTCTGAATCCCGACTTCAAAGTCGGACCCCCGACTTTGAAGTCGGGGGTCCGAGATCTAAGTCGGGGGTCTGAGATTAAAGTCGGGGGTCCGACTTTGAAGTCGGGAGTCCGAGATTAAAGTCGGGGGTCCGAGATTAAAGTCGGGGGTCCGACTTTAAAGTCGGGGGTTCGAGATTAAAGTCGGGGGTCCGACTTTAAAGTCGGGGGTCCGAGATTAAAGTCGGGAGTCCGACTTTAAAGTCGGGGGTCCGAGATTAAAGTCGGGGGTCCGACTTTAAAGTCGGGGGTCCGAGATTGAAGTCGGGGGTCCAACTTTAATCTCGGACTTCATGGGATAAGTCCGAAACGGGTGTTCTCAGACCCATTCTATCATATATCATTGAATTCGTCTTTCTTAGCTCTATCCAAGAATTAAATTAAATACTTTCGAAAATTCCGAGAAAATGATCGGTTTGCAAAATACGTCATCACTTTTGTTTAATTCGAATATCCGTAATATATTGACAAAATATCAATATAACATATATAATTAGTTAATTCATAATGAAAACTGCGCATTGAAAACTTGATTCTCAACGTTTTCATAAGGCTTTGAAATTTGGCTATTTATTGAAGATGATTATAAAAATAGTCCGGAAGGGGTGATCTCATACCTACAAATGGTATCATAATATATCATTAAACTCATCTTTCTGAGCTCTACCCAAGGACGGAATGACATTCAGGGTAGTTCATTTGTGAAAATATATGTTTTGTATTGTAATCTTTTTGCCACCTTTGAACGAACAAATGAGATTCTTAGCTATTAAGTGGAATATAAACAATCACCCTATACGTACGATAATGATCGTACAGGTGTGATCCATCATTTGACATTCAGTGTATATCCAAAAAGGAGGATTTTGACTGATCCTTATGTGATGATTATCCAATGGATGTAAAATTATTGTTTGTACATAAATTTACAGGGTGTTTCTCGAGTACATTTAGAAAATTCAGGAGCATGTTGCTGACGTCAAACTGATGAGTAACAATGGAAATTATTCATTTCTGTCCACATATTTAACGAATATAATCTAGCTCCTAACTTCAGTTTCGGACTCCCGACTTTAATCTCGGACCCCCGACTTTAATCTCGGACCCCCGACTTCAATCTCGGACCCCCGACTTTAATCTCGGACCCCCGACTTCAAAGTCGGGGGGTCCGAATTTAAAGTCGGGATTCAAAAAAAACAAGTATAGGTGGCCCTTCAGCGCCTTCGTATCTTGTTCTTGATAGTCTTCGTCTTGGATCAAAATGCGTCTAGAAATTCGAATTATTCAATCCGAATATCCAACAGTTTATATGCATATAATAGGTATTTCTCAGTCTTTCAAATTGTCAATTTGTGCGTATGAAGTAAGCAAAATAAATTTCTTCTTTTACCATAAGAATATAATTTGTAAGAAACCTTAAATAAACATTGAATGAGACCCAAACGGCAAACAGGCCGACGCTTGACAGGTCAGAAAAAAGGTTCGAAAGGGTCGGAACTGACACATCGCATCATCAAAATATTTCAAAAAATTTCAAATTCAAACCAAATAACTTTCGTATATTTTTGTTTATATCTTCAATAGGAGGGGGTATGGACCACTGTGACCTTACAACATACACCTATTTGTTGTAATCTTTGTAGCAAAACAACATTGTCAGCCACCGTATAATTATGGTTTATGTGTCCACCAGGTATATTTTGCGATTTCCCTAATTCATTGTTTTTAACGATTCGCATTTTTTATTGCAGAAGGTCGTCGCACCTGTCAAGTCAATCAGCTGTTAGGGCATCTCGGTCGTCGATCTCTTGTCCTTTTCTGTTGATATTATAAATATCATATATCATCTGCCAGGCATAGGCAACCCTTGGCAACCCCCAAATGCGTGGTTGGTTGCCTAACTCGAATAAGATGACAGGTACTATTTTTGAATTTCGCTATTTCTATCGCACCTACGAATTAAACCTGGTGTGGATACTTCAAACAGAACCGGTCTTTTTTCTTCAAACCCCCTGAGAACCCCGTTTCACCGCAACTTTGGAACTGCAATACCGATTTTTTTAAATGTATTTCGGATTCTGAGTGAACAAAAATTAAAAACCTATCATATGACAAATAAATAACTGGAATAAAATGCCATCACATTTTCCATCACATTTTTTTTAATATCGAGTAGATTTAGGTTCATTATTTTCCTTTCAAAACCAAGATCGACTCTTGGGAGAGAGCCTAGGTTTTGGTCTTGGTCTCGAAAGTCAGGTCTTGGTCTTGGAAAGATTTATTAAGTCTTGGTCTCGCGAAGTAGTCCAGTAGCCAGGAGATTTTGCCCTGCAAAAGGTCCGGTAGTTTTGATTTTTGGATATGTGCAAGAGTTCGGGGTCCTTCTCTTTCTTCTTCTTCTTCTTCTTCTTCTTCTTCTCTGCACAGGTGGGCGGGTGCGTAGACCCCTGCACTTAGGCCTCTTCAGTCGGGCCTATTGTGCGCCCACTTGTCCTGTGAATCAGCTATGCATGGGGTTCTTATAAAACCTCAAATTTGCGACTTCAGCGGCCGCCCGGGCGATCCACCATCTTGGAAGTTGGCGACTAGAATTGTTAATTTTTGCATTATCTCCTCACTGGTGGGTACAAGCACGAAAATACTCGACATCAATCTTATAGAAGACTGAATTTCCCACAAGTTTCAGCTGAAACATTTTTTTGTACGACTCAAATAAGGGAGCTGTAACGCTTCGAAATGGTGCAATTAGATATAAAATACGAAAACGCACTGTTATATATATATGAGTTCCATTACCCGCGAAATTCAAGTATGACCATCGTGTTGATTTCTCATTGTTATGCAATATCTACCTCATATAGATCCAAACATGATTTATTTTCATGAGCATAAAGAGCATTCATTTGCAATGAAAATACCTCTCGACATCTCACTATAACAATTATTTGTACAAAAAAAATTAAATATTGAGAAAGAGAAATTCGTTCTATGGTTTCTGAACTTCCTTACTTTGATATATATACCTGGGTTTTTTCATCTCCATATCATGAACTTGGCAGAAT